CTCCACGCCCAATTAAGATCGTGGAATCACTCTTGTTTCCAGCCTCGCCCCCAATCCCAGTTACTGCCCATCCGCGCGCAATCCCAGCTCTTCTCAACCTCCCCCAGCCAGCAATCTCGCCGACCCTCCCCGTCACCTCCTGCCACAACCACCGTCTCAACTCCCTCCAAATCCGAAATCAATGCCCCGATCAGCACCCACCCCGCCACGCTCACAACCCCATCCCCCCTAAGCCCCTCCGCAGGCGCAGCGGACAAATTAAAACGCCTTGTCGGAATCGGTCGCGCGTACCTTACCTTCTACAAAACAGGCCTGAAGAATGTCTACCACAACTACCGTGCCTCGCTCCCTCTACGGAGAAAAATAGGTCTACCCGCCTATATCCCTATATCCCCACACAACATCCACCACCGTAGCGCGCCATCAATAACAGAAGAATCCAAGCTCGGCCGCGCGCAGTTCCAGCTCGTCCGCCGCTCAGCCCGCGATGTCCGCCGCATGATCCCCTTCACGATGATCCTGATCGTCTGCGGGGAACTCACGCCGCTTATCGTTCCGTTTTTCGGCTCTGCTATTACGCCCGCGACGTGTCGTGTGCCCTCGCAGGTGGAGAAGGAGCGCGGTGTTGCTACGGTGCGCAAACTCGCGGCGCTAGATGCGTTTGTTGCGGAGAATAAGGATCGCTCGGTGCATTTGCTCAAGGCGGGCAGTGCGGAGCAGTTGGCTCTGCTTGCTAAGTGTTTTGCGGATCCTGTCTGGGTCGCCGGTGCGAGCTCTGCGGATGTGTTGCGTGCTTGTGCTGTTTTTGGTTTGGTTAAGCGTCATAATAGGACTGCGGGTGAGGCGCTTGCTGGTTTGATCTACCGGCCTCGGCTGGCGAAGCATGTCGAGTACCTGGCTAATGATGATGGGATGATTCGTGGTGGAGGGGTTTCGGCTATGAATGCTACTGAGGTGCGGATTGCCGTTGAGGAGCGTGGTGGTGTGGACGTCGCTTCTGGTGTTCAGGACCGGAAACGCGTGGAGGAGTTGGAGAGGCGCTGGTTGGAGCAGTGGCTGGCTGTTCGTGGAAAAAGTCCCAAGGCCAAGAAGCTGTAGTTTCTTGGACTGATAAACTGGAGGTCCTTTCTCGGGGGCTTTTTGTAATATATATATCCAACATTTCGACTCTTAAAAGGGCTGTTTTTCGTCCAGCTTTGCGATCATTACTAGCCGCAGTACTAGCTAGCCGTAGAGTGCAATCTCAAACTATATATAAGAAGACATGTACGAAAGGAAAATCCAAATGTCCAAGCGCTCAAAAGTAGCATGTGTCAATTTCGACAGTCAAATGGAAGGGTATCAAGAAACCAGCCTTTCTGATGGAGAAGGCAATCAATTGAAAAAAAAAACCAAGTTTATATACTCACCATCAGTCCACTGTAATAGAAGAAGCCGCAGCCTGCGCCTGCGCCTGGCTACGGACTTGCTTCGCCCACCGCAGACCACAGCTATTGCAAAGATCCCGGTTTCCACTCGGACCACGCCGCCACTCGGGGGTGTTCTTTGTGTTGCACATGGCGCAAAACTTCTCGATCGCATTAGCGCCTTGCTTGCGCTTACGCTTCCTGCGGCGAGCCAGCAGACGTTGCAGTTCATCGGCCAGAGTGCGGTTCTGCTTCTCTAGCTCGCGCAGCTCGATCTGCCAGCTCGATCCGCGCGTGGGATTGAGCTCTGTAAAGAAGGTTGCTGGGTCGGTAGAGGGAGAAATGCTGCGGTTGCCACTGGGCAGACCGTTGAGGCCGATCAGGTTCGCTAGATCGGGCATGCGTTGACCAAGGGCACCGTACTGCTGGGGCGGGGTGGGGTTATCGACGGTAAGTGTTGTGTTGCGTGCAGTACCGGTAAGCGTAGCGAGACTGTTGTCTTCGGCGGCTGAGATGGCGGTGGCGGATGGAGAGGCTCGAGCGAATCGTATCTGGGCGACGAGGAAGGTCGGTTTTATCCCCTTCGGTGTATCGCCGGTGTACAATGTGGTATGTGCTGAAAGGGCATGGCCTTTCTTATGCCATATTTTGTGTTTGAATGAGGGTGGTTCATTCGTTTCCTTGCCGCTACCTGTAACGGTGGATAGGCCAGCTCCTTGTCCACCACAGGCAGCCTCCAGGGCTTGTGTGATCGTGGCATTGCCACCAGTCTCAGGCTCCATAATCTCTTGTATGCCCTTACCAATCAAATCGTCAGGCGAGCGGCCGAGCACCGGCTTCACCTTGGTAGTAACGAACAGAATCACACCAGACAAAGAAATCTTGGCCCAAATGTCATTCTCGGCCAGCGCGGCGGATGAGCCCAGGCGGGCAATCTGATCCAAGGTGTAGACGGGTCGTGGGCGGCCGGTCATGACAAGGTACCTCCGGCCCTGATTCGGATCGATATGCCAGGCGCCGTGACTCTCGAACCACATATATCCTTGGTGCTTTTGTCTGATACGATACACGACACTCACTGGAGCGGTTGTCGTGCTCCCTCGCAAGTCACGTATTACAGGACCAATATCACTGGGATGGCAGATGGCGGACAGGGTCTTGCCGATCAGTTCGGCCGGATCGTACTCCAGAATCTTGTGGCAAGAGGGCGACAGATACAAGAATTCACCGTTGAATGAAAGCACATGGATCACATCATCGGTATTCTCAACCAGAATGCGGTCCAGGTAGTGCCGGTTGACATCATTGCCAGCTGCACCCATGGCGTTGAGAATGTTAGTCACTTCGTCATGGCCATATCGCAACACGAGGTCTGGTCGTGAGGAGCGCACATCTTGTGGTGGAACTATATACTGTGGCAGATGATCGCGCTGGTAGTTTATGGTATAATTACCATCTATACAATGTTAGCGAGGGCACTCGCCACGAAGAATGCAAAGCATACCAGGATTCCTTCCCCTCACAGCATCGGGTTTTTCAACCAGATCGACCTGAAACCCGACATAATACCGATAAACATCCGAGTCCCACTGGATGGGGATCATCGTGATGAGATTCATGAAGGGTTGTCCACCCTTGCGGTAGTTAATTATACTGGCCTGGATCTCATTGCGATCGTCGATGGTTGACCGTAGCCGATAGACGGTCTGTCCATCGACAAAGGTCCGCTTGGCACCAGAGTTGATTATGCCGTCGGGTGCTTGGAGGAATCGACAGTTCCGGCCAACGATTTCATCTTTAGTATAGCCGGTCAGTCGTTCAAAGGCCTCTGATACATAGACGATTGGATGATCCTCGGCCAAGATGTCACACATCACAAAGGCACATGAGAGATCGACCGCGCCAATGTTGATTTTAGGGTTGGGTCGCATAGCCACACGGCCCTGAATAAGGTTAATATATCGTCGGATACTCTCCATGGAGATGAAAGACTTACCAACGCTCCCAGCACGTCAAAGCCAGTCGTTGAATAAATGCCGGTATGTTCAGTCTTGCCAATCTCGGACTTTGCGAGCCCCGGCGAGAAATCCTCTGGTTGCACGGTCCCACGTCAGTCATACCATGGGACAGAGCCAACGGGGAGTTGCCAGACACAGACACAACTCACCTTTAGTAACAACGGGTTTCTTGGGCTGGATAGCCACCGGTTGCGATGGACGGTACGGCTGGCCAACAGGCAGGCGGCGCTCTGGAGGTTGTCGCTGAGCCCGCTGCACCTGCACCGGCGCCTGCGCCTGTGACCAGTCGCTCGTGCGACCTGAGAAGTCGGAATCCTCGAAATTTGCTGTCGAGTCGGTGCTTGTATCATATCGTTCCTTGGGCGCTGGCCGAGCGGGCTGGGAATAATGGGGTAGCGGCATAGATTGTGGGAAAGGCGGATATGCAGACTGAAACTGTGAATGATCCATCTGCGGAGGCAACCCCATGATAGCCGGGTACGTGGCTGGGATATCGTAGGAATAGGCATTGGTAGCATTCGTATTCATTGGCATTGAGATACCCGAGGTCGGAATCCCGTCGTATGTGAGCATGGCATTAGACCTCAGTCCCTCCAGGTCCGACGGCTGTGAGCGTGCGAAGTTCTGGAGCGGTAGATCCGCATCCTGGGATAGCATGGCACTGAAGGCATAATTATTCTGATTGGAAAAGGTCGTATATGGCGGATTGGTGGGTTGTGGGGGAACCTGATGTTCGTCATCATAGTCCAAGTTGAAGCTGTTCATGTTGGTTGAAATATCTGTGGCCCAGACCGAGTTCCATCGCCCCGCAGGATGACACCCTGGGCAAAAGTGAGAATTGCCGTCGAAATATGCTTGAAATTTGTTTATCAAAAGGAATGTTCGATATATTAGAGAGATGGAGGAGGAGACTGGCGAGAGGGTGTGTGTGTGAGGGAGAGAGAAGAGAAGAGAACTTGATATCTCCAATGATGTGGAGAAGTACTCGCCAATCTTGATATATGGGGATTTGCCATCCAGGATTTGTAGGTGTTGTATTTTGTTTATTTATGTATTCTTTCTGTTTATGCTTATGTTTCTGTTTCTATTTCTGTTTCTATTTCCCTTTCTTGATTCTATATCTATATCTATATATATGCTAAATTGTAGGTTGTAGGTTGTAGAAAGGTGTCCTGTATGAAGTGTATGCCATGCCATGCGCAAACCCTCACAATGACAATGGCAATGGCAATGGTAGACTGGAAGAGCTACTATAGTATATAGTATTAGCTACAGTCAAAGATAGAGAGCTACCAGGGCTATATTATGTAGTATATATATAGAGCTAGTATATATTGCCCCTATTATATAAATAAACCCCTGTCAACATTCCCCATTTCCCCTCCTCACTCTTTCTCCAATAATGTCCATTGGCCATGGACAAGATCTCAATCACCATCTGCGGAGATGGTGGATGTGGTATGTTGCTTCTCTTGTCTCCTGGGAATTTCCTGACTCCGTGATTCGGTGCCATGTTTCCGGGTTTCGCGCGATCGAGATCTGATCAAATCGGGATGCAGGCAAATCTTCAATCACTATGCGGCTGGTCCGTAGTCAATGGGTTCACGAGTAAGGACATCTCCCTGGTCTTGGTAACCTAGTGCTAATATCTCATTTCTAGATATGATCCAACAATCGGTATTGCGCCATCCCAACGCCCTTCCAATGCCCTTCCAATTCTAACCGGGCCCAGAGGATTCCTACTCCGTCACTCGCACCGTCGACGGTCGCCCCTACGTCCTTTCGATCACCGATACTGCAGGCCAGGAGGAGTACCGGGGGCTATGGTCTGCCTCGACCCTGAGTTCGGACGCGTTCCTCCTAGTTTACGATATCACCAACCCGTCGAGTCTTGAAACGCTGGATCATTTCATGGAGATGATTGATATGGAGGCGGAACAGCGCGTCGAGGACAACCAGCAACTGCGCCAGAGGTTGGGGAATAAATATGGGGGTGTCGGCCATGTAGGCATGCCACCGCCGGTCAAAGTCATCGCGGGCAACAAATGCGATCTCAAGGACGGTCGCGCGGTGACATCCCGCGACGGACTGGCCTATGCGCGCAAGCATGGCTGCGGGTTTATGGAGACCAGCGCTCGCGAGACAGTCAACATCGAGGAGACTTTTGGCCGTATGACACACGTCTGTCAACAAAGAAGGAGAGAGAGCTAACGGTCGGATAGATTTAATCCGTCGCGTTGTCGAAGCCCGCCGACTCCAATGTCAACAGGGTGTTCTTCCTCCCAGCGAACCATCGCACACTGCGCTCCCGACCAGCACGGTGGACGCAGTTGCAGAGACCAAATCCCGTCGAAGTCGGGCGTGGGAGTTTATCAAACACCGGAAGACAACGGAACCAAACGGCGAACAGGGTCAGGAACAGAGTGAAATGCAAAACGGAACCGAAAAAGAGAAGGAGCCGGGTCAAGAGTGCGAACCGGATGAAAGGTGCGCTCGTCAGGTGTGGTGTTTTCGCTGTTGATTTGAATTGCGGAGCGAAGCGAAGCAATTAAAACATCAATGTATTCATTATGTATAGTACCTTGCATCTGTGAGCAATGTGTATATTTCTGTGTCGTAGAATTGTATCTTGTATATTGTAGATTGTAGAGGAACATGTACATAAAGTTCGGGGTGAATAGGAATAGGGTTAAAGGGTCAAGGATGAATGGACTCGGAATGCGTCTCCGACAATCAACTACGGGATATGATGCTGAATAGAGGGAGTTCCCATGGACAAATTGAAGTCTGAATTTGATAGATGATTTCATAGGGATTAGATTTAGATCGTCACATATTTCCAAAAGCAGTAAGTATTTAGCTAAGCTTTGTGAACGGAAACCCAGCCGAGAAGAAAAGAAATAGGAGGAAAATAGGAGACGCCAGAGAATCGAAACAGGATATCATTCTAGAAGCGAGGCCTAGCCCTTGCTCACGCCCAAAAGGGACATAGTTCCTTATTGGGCGACTCGGAATGGTCACGTCATGGACTTGAAGGGCCATCACCTTGACGGATGACAATTGGTGATAGTCTAAGAGGCCTATCATGAATCATGGAGATGACCTCAGGATTGAATAGAATACACAGTTTACAGTAAATGGATAGAATGCAGTCTCGAAGCTATTCGGCATGGGCTTGCCGATTTAATATCCGCTTACATAGGCAGTATAAGGATTGCATAGTTATGCAACTTAGGATATTAACTATGTACAACATATGTTCTATTATTCTATTCTTCTACCTATGTTGATAGTTGTTATATTCTATATTCTCTATATTCTTTCTATATTCTATATTCTATCTATATTATAATTCCACCATTCTACCATTCTCTATAATAATAATCAATATCCACTCCTATACGTCAGAAACACTTCCCAAATGCCGAGTCATCCTGTATTTTTCCGTAACACCCCCGTACCGTCATTTATGATCTTCGATCCGATCCCTTTTTTATGTCCAGCGAGACTCGAGACTCCAATGACTCTAAGAAGAAAAGCCAGAGAATATTATTTTTATAAAAATAATAATCCGAAACGAGTAGGGCCCCTCTTTTCGTGATTCCTATATATGCACATCGACGCCCATGGTGACCTGGGATGTTACTTTTCTTTAAGAGTCTATTACTTCACTCGAGCATCTTCCTAGATCACTACTCTCCTCTCTCTATTATTTCTCTAAACCTTCTTATATCCACGGTCCCCAGCATTTCTCTCTCTGCATCCGTCTACTCTATTTGAACTCAATTTCTGTTAATCCGTGAACATCATTATATCATTGACATTTGACGTCGATCATCCTCCCTCTCGAAGTATAGCTAAGGCTCGGATTCCTGTTCTTCTCTCTACACTTTCGACCGCAAATCATGGCAGCTCGACAATCAACACCCACCTCCGAGCACTCGCATTCGGATAGTAATGTCCGTAAAAGAGTATGCAAAGCTTGCGATCGGTGTCGTTTAAAGAAATCCAAGGTATGTACAGCTAAACGAATAAATCCTCCCAACATCCACTGACCCTCCGGACAGTGTGACGGATCTAGTCCTTGTTCCCGGTGTCGTGCCGATAATGCCATCTGCGTCTTTGGCGAGCGCAAGAAGGCACATGACAAAGTGTACCCGAAGGGGTAAGCGACATCACAGTCCTAGCTCGAAACTCCTCCCACTGACCAGCTCTCTCCTTCTAGTTACGTCGAGATGCTTGAACAGCAACAATCTTGGCTGGTCCATGGCCTCCAGGAACTTTATCGACGCAACATCGAAGGCGAAGGCTGGCCCGGCGAGCAGCTGAAACTCGAACCCAACGGTCACCCACTCACCCACGACCTTCTCATGCGCCTCGGCGCCCTCGACGGCTCCAAGGGCGAGCGCTTCGAAGAAAACCCCGAAGCCTTACAGCAGGATCTGTGGCACACCAACGCCGGCATGCAACGCCAGGAATCGTCCGACGGTGGCTCCGATAGCCCCCAGTCACCAGTGCCCCGTTCGCGCTTCTCCTCCGATGCTTTCTCCCAGCAACATATGCCGCCCACACCGCCCACATACAGTCCCACGACGCGTGCGCCCATCAAGACCGAGCAGCCTTCTCAATCTCAGATGCCCAGCACCCCGCAATTCACTCAACCTTTGTCCATGCAAGGCGTCGTCAACCCACTGGCGTTGCAAAGTCCGCAACAGTGGCCTAGTAGCGGGTTCAATTCTTTCGACGAGATGGACTTGATGTCCACGGCCGATTACTCCAATATGCCCTTTGACGACCAGCAGTTGTCGTCGCCGATGTTCAATCGCCAGGTGCCCTTGAGCTGTTTGTCGCAAGGGTCATATCTTGATTCCAAGGACTATGACGATTTCAACCAGTTCCTCAATCCGAACCCTACGGAGATCACCTCGATCTGAGCCTTCTTCTGAGCTATCTTGAGCTATCCTGAGCCATCCTGAGCCACCCTGAGCCTTATCCTTCTAAGGATCGACTATTTTAACGCCGTATGACGTGATGCATGTATACTATACATGTTCTGTTTTTCTTTCTCTTCTCTTCTGGGGCTATTTTCCCCCGCAAGTTCTGTTGATCGGATTCAGGCGCAATTGGGATCCTAATCACCTCTGTACAGTGAACCGGTTTTCGGAGATTTGGAGTTATTTCTTTTTCCATTCTTCTTCTTTTCTTTCTTCTACACTTTGTTTCCTTTCTTTCTGGCGTTCTAAAACGGGGTTTCAAGGAGTCGTCCATTTATTGTCTAATTAGAATTCAATGAAGTTTTAAGGCCATGTCACCGTTACACCATCCGAAACGGGAAATGATCTCATTCGACTTGATATCCACTTAGCAGTTACCCAGGTACCGTTCCAGATCGAAAAGATCTACAGAAGTAGCGGAGGGAGATGCCGATTTGCTCTAGCCCTGGAGCCCTGGATCCCTCCATCCTTGCCTTAATCCCTGGAGGGTCATGGAGTTCGAACATCAATGGAGCAAACGGCAATAACTCGGACCTTTATTTGGTATTTTATTTTCTTTCGCGTATTTTTTGATTTTTAATAAGATTATTGATCTTCCAGCTGACTCAGCGGCCCATTCCCCACTTTGAGCGATTTTCGGATCCTTTTTGTCTGCTTACGTCAGCCGTTGGCCTGCGAGAGCCCGCGAAAAGTCGCCGAATCCCGATTGTTACCGTTCCGGGGCAAATGCTCCGACGCCAAAATATAAAAAATCGGTACTTTGGCCTTTGTAGATGAGCATGTTCATCCTTATTTGACCGTGGAACTTATGTTATAACCTTCTGGCCAAGCCGTCTCCCTCGTATACAACCTGTTCAGTCACGAAGTATATTTGAACGGCCGAACACATAAGGCCGAGTTATCGCCAAACCTGCTTTCGCAAGAAAATGCCTCTCAATCCCATGCCAATCCAACCTAATACCAACCCAACGCCGACCCAATGCTAAAACTCTATTATATCCTGGTACCTGCCATATATTAATATCAAACCCTTGGGCCTTGGCATGTCTCCTTTTGTTCTTTCGTTCGGTGGGCCGACACGAGTCCGGGGTATAGATCCCTTCGGACGCCGGACCTCGTTCTCTCCGAACGGATGCAGGCTGACCCTAACGCCGATGTGCTATGTCCGTTCTATGCGTGATATAGTGTACTGATCTGATTGGAGAATACCAGTTCGATACACGTTACGGAGTACGTAGTTGGCTTTTTAACCTTTGAGACAATTGAGGTTATACTTTAAAGTCGCTCGCCACAGGTCCAGCCCGGTTTGATATGGATTACGGAAGATGTCACGAGTTGAGCTTTACCCTAATTGGGTCATGGTCAAAATATTCAAAGCGCTCTCTTTTAGTCTAATCAACCTAAATCAGGACCCTCTTAGACAAATAAACACCTCTCAAAGCCTTGGATATTAATATTTATGCTGAACCAAAATAAAGGAGTCATGTTGTCGGTGCTTGATCCCGCAGATTGCGGGGTTGCTAACGTCACGTCGCTTAAAAAATTTAAAGTACATGCTATGCTCTTCTTTCCCCGCCTATCTCATCCTTCGAGAGCAAATCAAATAAAAGGAACCGCATCATGTCCGAACAAGCTGCTTTCAACTTCCTGCCTTTGGGCGCCATCATCCAAACCTTCTCCGTCGGTGGTAAGAACATCGTGCTGAATTTCCCTACGCAGGAGGACTATGTCAAGCACAATACCCCACACTATGGTGCCACCATCGGCCGTGTTGCAAACCGTATCAAGGATGGTCTGATTCAGGAGCTAAATGGCCAGAAGGTTCAACTGGTGCAGAACAACGGCCCTAATTCCCTGCATGGTGGGGAGAACAATTGGGCTAAGCGCGTCTTTGACGGCCCATACACCGTCCAGCGCAATGGTCACGATGCCGTGCACTTCAAGTACCTCTGCAGAGATGGTTCGGAGGGATTCCCCGGGACCATCGAGGTGCGCGTGTGGTACATCGCTAGCAACGAGGACGCCAAGACCGTGCTGACGGCCGAGTACGAGGTGGAATTTGTTGGCAACGAGTGCGAGGAGACTGTAGTTAATATCACCAACCACAGGTAAAGATCTAGCCCCTTCCCCCTTCAAAGCTGATGACGACATTCAATCTTGAAAATTGGAGCTATTCCCCGCTGACCAAGCTTCCCCACCTCTCACAGCTACTTTAACATTGGCGATGGCCCCGATATTTCAGGCACCACCGCCCAGCTCGCTACAGCCGACTATCTGCCCCTCGATAGCACGGGCATTCCCTCGGGTGAGATCGCCAAGTTCCCGCGGGACGTGACAGCCCCGTTCGCGCTCGCCGCAACCGGCGCACACTTCGACGACGTCTTTGTGCTCGAGTCCGATCCTAGCAAAATCCCCCTGGACACTCGTGGCTTACCGCTACGCCGTCTAGCCCAGTTTAGCAATGCAAGCTCGGGCCTACATTTCGAAGTGTACAGCACCGAGCCTGCCTTCCAATTCTACACTGGCAAGTACCTCGATGTGCCATCGGTCAATGGGGCACCAGCACATCATGAAGGAGCTGCATTCTGTGTGGAACCTAGTCGGTTCGTGAATGCGATTAACGAGCCTGCGTGGCGGTCCATGGTTCTGCTGAAGAAGGGTCAACTGTTTGGCTGCAAGACTGTTTACAAGGCGTGGAAGGCCTGAAGGGGCCTAAAAGAGGATAGCAGTATGGAGTCCTGGGTACATCGGTGGATCTTGAGACATTTTTCAGCATTCAAGTCAAGAGGAGTGGAGATCGACCTAGCCATGTATGTATCTTTGATTACTATACAAGGAACCTCGGCATTGTATAGACATTGTAATCCCAAAAGAATTTAAAAAAAATAAAAGAAATAAAAAATAAAATGCCGAAGCCGACCAAGTTATCTCCGTCGTCCCGGGTCCTCGGCAGCCCGTGTTTCCCTTGGAATTTGAGTTCTTCTTTTATCAGATGATTCTCTACGTTCATATATGCGAATGTCTCTCTTGTCACCTAACGAAATACCTCTATATACCTAGGAGATATGTAGTATGTGTAGAGGTATACCAACTCAAAACAATTACCCAATTCGTGACCTTTGTGACCCGCTCTCTTCGAGAATAATCTCTTCTCCACTGTGAATGTCAAGCCCGTGACGATCTATCTTTTTTAGTGTGCCGCATTCCCGGAATGTGGCGCTATAAGATACTATTAGTTTTTTTTATCTTTATTGTTACGGATATAGGATTTGTTTTAGGGTTTGCTTATAGTTAGCTATATTGCGCGATAATCTACAACAATCTCAATAACAGGACACAACCATATTGCCTATTAGCCTGGGCTTACTCTTTTTGCGTAGCTTGATCTATCTGGGTGTATGTTGAATAACTAGTTAACTACATGTAACTAAACTCAATGTATTATCGTATACTCCCACGTGACCTCGGCCACAATCGGACTCCGGACCGGGCCAACCCGAGCTTCTTCACCCCGCGCGGGGGAACTTCGACATGCGAACTCGCGGATCAACACAACTTCTCCAAATACCTTAATCCAATTCATTATTCAATCTACTCCACTTACAATGGCCTTGGCTCACGGAGATCTGCGCCATCTACTACCCGGCAACTACAAGCGCTTCATCACATCCTGGCTGGAAGAGGACTGCCCTAGTCTGGACTATGGCGGTTTTGTTGTCGGCGAGTCAGAGGGCGAGGCCCGACTACTAGGAAAGAGCAAGGTAAAGTGACAGTGTCTATAATCAGATGATCCTAACCCTAAAAGAACATTAACTGATCAACTCAGGGCATCGTCGCAGGCGTACCATTCTTCGACGAGGTATTCTCGCAACTAGGCTGCACGTAAGCCATACCCCACTCCAATCCCACCCCACCTCTCTAACCCGTCCAGAATCGAATGGCACATCAAAGAAGGCGAAGTAATCACCCCAATTCAGCACTGCGCAACCGTCCGCGGCCCCATCCGCAAGATCCTCCTCGGCGAGCGCGTAGCCCTCAACATTCTCGCGCGTTGCTCAGGCATCGCCAGTAAGAGTGCCTCCATGCTTGCTGCGCTGCGCGCGCAAGGATGGCAAGGTACCCTAGCCGGTACAAGGAAGACAACGCCTGGGTTCCGGCTTGTTGAGAAATACGGAATGCTTGCGGGTGGCGCCGACCCGCACCGCCACGATCTGAGCTCCATGACCATGCTAAAGGACAACCACGTGTGGGCGTGCGCGAACAACCGCGCTGCAGCCGATGGTGGCGTTGCGGACCCGTCATCGCTTGAGTCTATTGCGGCGGCGATCCCGCGCGCTGTGCAGGCGGCCAAGGCAACTGGTGGGTTCTCGACTAAGGTTGAGGTTGAGTGTCGGAGTGTGGAGGAGGCTAATGCGGCGATTGGGGCTGGGGCCGATATCATTATGTTGGATAACTTTACGCCCGAGGGGGTGCGGGAGGCTGCGGCGCAGCTAAAGCGCGAGTGGGCTTCGAAGAGGCCTTTCTTGATTGAGGTGAGTGGTGGATTGACGGAAGAGAATGCGCCGGCGTATGTATGTGCCGATATCGATATCTTGTCTACCAGCTCCATCCACCAGGGTACGGGGATTGTGGATTTCTCGCTCAAGGTATCGTTGCGGTAGAAATGTATCATAGAATTTTGGATGGCATCCTAGTAGAGCAGCATATCGACGTGTATAAAGTACAACGAAAGAAGAAAATGCACAAAAAACCCCGACAGTCCCTCAACAAGATGTTTTAGCCCCGAATAACATTAAAATAAAAGCCTAACACAAACAGACAGTGGGTATATATAGCATAGGAAAAAAAAGCGCGGCAAAATCAAACTTCGATGTCCACGGTGATGCCCTCCCCTTCACTGGAGCTGGGAGCCTCATCTGAACCCGGAGGGCGACTGGGACGGTTGCCATCTGCAATGGTCCCTGAAGGTCCTCGCCGCCTACGTTCCCGGTTGAGCTGATCTCGAAGTTTCTGGTTCTCGGCATCGCGCTCCTCAAGTCGCTCGCGGGCGCCACTGCGGTCTAGGAGGCGACCTTCACGTTCAGATTTGAGTTGCCTCTCCAGCCCATGTAGTCTGTGAATCCATTTCTCATCGCCACCATTCCAGCCACTTTGCGAGCTGCGCGTGCGTGGTATCATTGTTCCAGGATTGTTGGTTAACGTGCTGCTGGAAGAGGAATGAGAGGGCTGCCCTGTAACGTTGCGAGTGGCGCCTTTCTCGGCGCGAGGTCTATCAGTACCAGCCGTAGAGCTAGAACGCCCTAGGGATCGGTCCGACTCTGCTCTTGACGTCAAAGAAGGGGAGCGGGGTCCTGCCATGACTGCAGCCGCAGCCGCAGCCACAGACGCAGGACCCTGTCCTCGCGAGTTGGATTGAAGTAGGTTGAGTTCAGCCTTTAGCAGACGGTTCTCGCCACGCAATTTAGACATCTCCGGAGTGGAACTCGACTGTCCGCGACCGGATCGCATGTTTTTGAAAGCCTCTTCGAGGCGCTCGAGCTTCTTGATTCGTCCGTTATATGACAGCTCAAGCGTGTGATAACGCTTGGTCAACTCATGGTCGATGCTCTTGATGCGAGACTTGAAACCCGCCATCACGGCCTCGACAGTCTTCATTGCAAGCAGAAGGTTGCGGCTGAAGCCTGGCCAGAACAGCATATTACCAATGACTTCCTGGCTCGGGAGATTGCCATTGATAAGACTGTTGGAGTGCGCCCAATCTGGCCCGCAAAGCCCAGATATTCTCTTCCAAATGTTAAGAAACATGATGTTCCTCTCGTTAAGCTGGTCCTTGAATTGCTGTTCCAGCGATGCGTATCTTTTGCGGTCCTCGGTCCGCGCTTTTTCCAGATCTGTGATACGGGAATTGCTTTGTGTGATGGTCCGAGATGCGTGCTGATGGGATTTGAGCGACGACTCAAATGACTGCTTGTCGGCTCGACGCGCATGTCTTTCGCGATCCAGGAGTTCTGAGAGTTTTCGTGACTCAAGCCCATGACTCTCGAGCAGAGCGTCACGATTTCGAAGCAGAGATTCTTTCTCATCTAGCTGTGAGCGGACGCTCTCTAACTCAAGGGCGGTGGACTCGAGTTCCTTTTGCAGCTTCATGATGTTGGTGATCAAGCTAGACCGGCTGCCGCTGAGATCACCTAGCGTTTCCCTCAAATTGTTTTCGAGGTCCATCAACCGTTCTCGCCAGGTGGAGGTTTCAATCTCCTGGGCTGAAAGGCTCTTCTTCAGACGTCGGACCTCCTCTTTGGAAGCTGAAGCTTCGCGGTTCAATTCATTCATGATACGCTGGACATCTTGCTTCTCCTTGCTTCCTACCACCTCTCGCTGGTGACGTTCATCTGCCAGTCGCTGCTCGAGTTCTCTGGTCTTCTCTTTTTCACTAACCAAGCTCAGGTGGTAGTTTTTGAGGTCCGATTCGAGATCTCCGATGCGGATCTTATCGCCGTCTTGCTCTTCGCGAAGGAAAGCAATTTCATTTTGGCTCGATTCAATCTGCACCGTCAGCCGCTGCACCTTAGTGTTGGCCTCAAACAGGCTCTTCTCCATAGACTCCATCTCGCGATTGGTCTCTTCAAGTTCCTGCTGCACAGACTTGTACGCGGCCAGGTTGTTCTGTGCATCTTCCTCGAGACGGATGATGCCTTCGCTGGCAGAACGCATTTCGGCCTGCAAAGCCCTGAGGTTTTCGTCTTGGTTTCTCAAGTCCTCATTCATACGCTGGCACTCAACAATTTTCTGGTCGAGTTCGTCTCCAAGGGTATCCAACTCTTCCTGCGCTTCGGCCCGCAGGTCCTGGAAAGCGGCATCTCGTTCATTCGCCATGTTTACGGCCTGGTCTCGTTCTTGCTGTAGGTTTTGCATCTCTTCTTCGGCTTGATCAACATCAGCCTGGTATGCCTTGTCAAGAGCCTCTAGTTCTGCAATATAGTCCTCAAGTTCGGCTCGGATGGCTTGATTCTCAAGCTTGAGGGTCGACACTAAGTCCCGGAGTTGTCCATTCCGGGCTTCGAGTTCATCGTGGTCCATGTCGCTGCGCGACATACCCGTTCCGTCGCTAGCCTGAGACGAAGGTCGGACATGAGTGCGTGAGACGGAACGGTCGAAGATACTGTCTCCCGCTATGGATCGGCCAACATGACGACGCTCTCCGAGCTTCAATTCTTCAATCTCCTGATAAAGACGTTCCTTTTCTCGGTTACGAGACGTGAGCATTGAAGTCTGGGCACTGACTTCTTTTCTTAGTTCTGCATTCTCCTGTTTAAGGAGCCCCAGCTCTACAACAAGCGTGCTGTTGGGAACGGTAGGAACTCGGTTGCCATCTCTATCAGATGTGTATGAAAAAGAGTCGTATTGGCCGGGCTTTGTGGCAGCGTACATCTCACTTCGCAAACGAATCGACTCATCCCTAAGTCTTCGATTTTCTTCCTCGGCTTGCTCTCGCGCTGAGGTTTCTGCGTCAAGCATATCCTTCCACATCTCCTGTATATCTAATTAGCTCGGATCTGACTTGATCGTGTTTGTCTCACTTACTCGCTCTTCCCTCGCGCCGGCGTCGGACTCTCCCGCACGATTATCGCTGAGCGACCTGATCATCTCGGCCAACCGTCTCTTCTCACTTTCCCGTGCAATAGTTTCTGACCTCATACGCTCAATCT